ATATCCTGCATCGTAATTCAAAACTAAAATCTTTTCTGTTTGTTTATGTTGCTGTATTCTTTCTCACACTGCAATACGTCTCTGAGCCGAATTTCATGACTACACAGCGAATCTTAATTTTGGACATATGTATTTGTTAATTCAATGAAATTTTTATTTTTCTCTAACGTTGTATTAACTTTAATGTAATTAAGTGCATTTGAAGCAAAAAGTCCAAGAAATTAAGGGTATCCATACAATTATATTTCTCTTTTCCACTTTTTGTAAATATTTTGTCCGATCTATTGATTGAATTACTATATTTTGATCTTTCTGGTGTTGTGGGATGCACATTTTATTGCATTTAAACAGTCTAAATTTGAGAAGAAAAATAGAAACTTTATGATATTAGCATTACGTTTATGCAAAATGATGCGTAGGTGGGAGTTTTAAAAAAGTCGAAACCATTACACTAAATTTACAGTGTTAAAAATGATGTTGATATGTGCTACATGTACACACAGTTAATATTTTTACATAACTCCTGTCAGAAGAAACAAATAAAAGAATAATTTGAAACTCATTAAAGATATTTTTCAAAATTTCTATCCTGTTTTTTTTTTAATGCATGTTTGAAAAAAAAATTGTGAAATAAATTTTGACAAAGAGATGTTTCATAATTACTAGCTTTTGTGTATTGTGGAATTGTAGAGACTCAAGACTGTAGAAGTTTAAAAGGTAATTAGAGAAATGAACCTTTCAATTTTGAATCCCTCTCAAATGACAAGGTTATCTAATTTGGGGGGTTTCCTATTAGCCACATATATTTCGAAATTTATTTTCTCAATTTTTGTTTTAATTCATTCCATTGACGACATTGATTCTTCTGCTTGTTGTTGTTGCTTAGCTCTTTCAAATTCTCATTATATCCCCGACAGCCTTTGAAAAATTGAAAGTAGTAAAAACAGAAAAAATTTCAGATCAACTTATTAAATAGATTTTTCTTATGGACTATGACATCAGTGTTGCAAATATTGCGATTGAAAATATAGTTTTCAGTGTTTTTCATCACAAAAAATTTAATGTCACAAGAATAAATTCGATACATTGTAACAAAACCAGTTAAATGTATTAACTCTTTTGAAGGACATGTGTCATATGAGATTTATCAATATATTTGATCAAACTGTATGTATTGGGCAATTCTAGAGAGAAAAGCTTATGAAATGTGCTCACATTTTACACTGAGATTGACCAATCAATCATTCAGATTTTAGAAAGATGCATTTGCTTTATTTTTTATCGTAAAATATAAATAAAAATAATATATATTTTATCTTGAAAATTATAATTTTAAAAGTAGTTCTATATTACATTGTGTACAGACTTGTAATTTATGTACCTTCATACCTTTCTTCTTATGTATATATATATTAGTTCACTCTCTCCCTATATATATATATGTATATATATATATATATATCTTGTTCAAATTTGCAGTCGTTAATAAAATGCTTTCTATTCATCCATTCAAGTTCAAATAAATTTTTTTAGAAAAACTTGCAGTGAATAACACTTGATGTTAATACAGTTTTCTCAAATATTAATTCAATAATTCTATTTAATAATTCAATAATTCTAATTAATTCAATAATTCTATTTACTATTTTTATTCATTAATTCAATAATTCTATTGAATTAATGAATAAATTGTAACAAAAATAATAGTCTAACACCATATATAAAGAGAAGACGCACTTGTTGTGTCTGTAACGCAATGGATAGCGCGCTTTGGACTTCTAATCCAAAGGTCGTGGGTTCTAACCCTACCTAGGATAGACTAATTTTTTGAGAATGTGATTTATGTATCAATAAATAGTAACAAACATAAATAATAGTCCAACACCATATATAGAAAGGAAAATTGTGCTTTTTCTCTTTTCCACTTAATATTGTGTGATTCATTTATACGTATATACATATTTATAGCAAATGTAATTACTTTATAAAAAGTAACTAAAATGAAATTTTTCTTTGTGGACCTAAGCAAGAATTGACTTTAAATTTTTTTTATATTACTTGTTTTTACTTTTCTTTATTTAACATATTTCTTAAATAAATCCCAATTATTTTATTGATTTTAAATTTTAATTTCTAGATGATAATATGTGTCAAAAGAGCACAAAAATAAAGCTGTTTTAATCATTATTCTGATCTATTTGTCTCCAGAAAATCTAGATTACTTATCATTTTTTTCACTAAATTATTACAAATTAAACTTTAAACTGTTTATACATATGATATATGTAAGTATGTATATATAAATAATAATCCTGCTTCAAATGTTCTTTTCTGGTTTTCAGCAGCATTGCGACCTATAAATAAGGTAATGGAATAAGTCCCCGAACCCTCCAAGTGCACAATCAGGAAACAGTGAGGAAACAGAATTGAAGGAAGAGAGATGGTGTGGAGGGCCGGCCGAAATCGGTTCTTTTCTGAAAAGTGAAGACCTTTAACAACAGGTTTCCAGTACATATTAATTATGTGCGGTAGTCTTTTCCTTGGTCCTCGCTCACTCAAACTCATAAATAATTACAGCACAATTTCGGTCTTCAATCACCAGCCGCCTGGAATTTATTAGACAGCATTTGGCAACAGTAGATAACAATGACGTATACCCTAATGATTCGCTGTGCCAGCAAGGAGCCACTCCCATTTTCGCCTTTCCATCATGTTTTTATTGTAACCATTATTACAAGGTGAGATAGGAAAAAATGCTTTCGATAAATGTTGGTGTGAGTTGATGGATTTCGAAAAATACTATCTCCCGTCATTCTTTGTTATGCTCAATAAATTTAGTATTTTTTTTTATGTTTGCCTTTGTGTTTTATAATTATTATACTAAGTTAAGTTATGAATGATGATGAATGTCTGTGTATTTTGACGATAGGCAGAGAAATTTTATTGAACGGAGATTTAATTAGATTTTAAGAGATCTTTCAAATAAAATCGATATAGCAGTTATGGGGGATTCATATGTTTTGTTTGTTTGTTTTTATGTATTTTAAATAAATTTTAAGAGGTTGAGTTGCAAAAAAAATAAAAAAAAAAGATTAAATCATCAATAAATTTCAATTATGTTTTATATTACAGATTAGTGATATTATTGGCTATATTTCTATTGTTATTTTATTTTTATTTTTCATTTCAGTTTTCTTTTTTGTGTATTCTACTCATTTTATTTTACGGTCCACAAAAAATAAATCAGTGTAGAGGGGCGAATGTGTGTTAAATCTGTTGAGGATCAAAATCCTCCTGTTAGCTTAATATGGAAGCTTGGAGAAGTTGGCTTAGTGTGGAAGCTTGGGGTTCCAACTCAAGTGGCATGCTCGTGATTCGTCCTTGAACCTAGGATCAAAATTATGAGGCCTGTTGCCAATAATCCTCATGTTGCTTCAAAGCACGTCATTAATAAACAATTAATTCATAGTTTTCTCTTTCTAATATTTTACTGTTACTATTTACTATATCTCTACTCTCTTTTCAGCACTTTAACTTACTCTTTACCAAACCATCTTTCCATAACTCATCTGTCATTCTTCACTTAACGTCCAACTAATGCTATCAGTTATATCTTTTGTTACACTATTTTGTACTACTGCTACTCATTCTGCAAAGGCTTATTACTCTCACTTTTTTTCTTCTTCTTACTACTTCAGTTCCAAAAAGCTTACATTACTTCAGTTTCCTTTACATCAACACATTTTACACAACAACAAACAATTTTCTATTGTGTGATTAAATTTTACATTTCTACTGTCACCATTGTGACTAACAAGCTTTCTTCTATTAATTTTACTGTGCTCTACTCCTGTAGCTACAGGAATATTGTTATTGTACTCCTAATGTTATGCAGCAGCATTATTTCACCTAGTGGAACGAAGACAAAATTGGAGTTCCTTAGCTAAAATCCCCTATTAAATATCGTCTGTATGAAGAAAACATTGAAAAAAAAATATTATGAAATCAATGAAGCAATACTGAATGAAACGTTTACCCCGTTTTTATCGTCTGTTTTAAAAAACTATGCTGAAAAAATTAAGCCAAATTTTTGTACAAAAGCATGCATGAAAAGTATAAGCAAACATTGAGAAATATTTCACATATCTAATTAAAACATAAGAAAAAAATAGAAAAGAAGAAAAAAAAAGATGCAAACAATTTAAAGAAAAATCAGAAAAGTTTATTTAGTTTATCTACAAATAGCAATAAATGTAGCATTGTAATATAGCTGCACTTCCATACAAATATTTTTATAACATAATTTATTATAACATATGTGCAAAAATATGCAAAAATTTTAATTTATACTAGAGGGGGGTTCATTTTCAGAACAATGAATGTAATAAAGATTAAGTATCTCATTGGAAATTAAGTGTGCCTATATATAGGTAATTGAACAAATGTCTTATTTGATTATTTGAATAACATTTTATTAATAAGACTAGGGGTGAGTACCATCTGTCCACTTAACGGTGAACCCATCCCCATTGTGCAAAATATACAACTGTTCTTACTCATTGCTCAAATGGGAAAACTGTAATTTACCTTGTATATAATGCAGTTTTATTTATTTTTATTTCAATATATTTTAAGTAGGAAAAAGTAAATTTCAAGACTTCACCTCTACATTTTAGTTTCCAATACATCGTTACGTTTAACTATTTTTACACGTCTCTTCAATTTTGTAACCATAATATTAAACAGAATTTACTGCCTCTTTTTCAATTCCTATTAGTTCTCTCTCTCTCTCTCTCTCTGTCTCTCTCTATTAATAAAATACTGTCTATTCATCCATTCATGTTCAAATACATTTTTTAAAACTTTTAGTGGATGAAACTTGATGTTAATACAGTTTTTTTAAGTATTAATTCATTAATCAAATTAAAAAATGATTAAATAGTAACAAACAAAAATAATATTACGACAGCATGTATAGAAATAAAACTCCTTTCTTGGGCCTGTAGCGTAATGGATAGCGGTTTGGACCTCTAATCCAAAGGTCGTGGTTTCAAAATCCACTTGAAATGGTCTAATTTCTGAAAATGAGATTTCTCTTTTTACTATACTATTTTATTAGAATACTTAAATTTAACTAATGAATAAATAATAAAAAACAAAAAAAGTAGTCCAAGATCACATATAGAAAGGAAATCGTGTTCTATTTTATCATTTAATATTGTGATTCTGTCATATATATATACATTTTGATCTTAATTGTAATTATTTTATAAAAGGTAACTAAAATAAAATTTTTCTTTGTTGATCTAAGTAGGAATTGACTTAATTTTTTTATATTACTTGTTATCATTGTTCTCGTGTGCAAGATAAATAAATTTATTATATCATCGCGGAAAACTTTTTTTATATAGAGAGAGAAATACATTTTCATTTCTTAAAGATGATAGTTCACTGTACACTGCCATCTACGGCATAATTTTTTTAAAGAGAATTTTTATATATTTTGTTTATAAAGATAAAAAGATAATATCAGTTCCATGAAAATGCAATGTGTATGAATCGCATCAAACTTTTATTTTTGACACAATTAGTATGCAGTATTTGTTAAAATATCCTTCAATACATTAGTAATTTAAATAATTTGGAATCAGTACTTTATACAGCAACCCTAAAATCATATTAATTACCTTTCAGTCTGAAGATAACAAAACTAACAGACTAGAGATAACATCACATTCATCTCATCAGCTTATAAATCAAATTAAACATAGAGTGAATAAATTTTTCTTCGAGAAGAAGGGGAAATATGATATGTTCCGAATCATCACAGTCATTGCCAGTGCTCATGGATAGATTTATTCGCTTTTGAATTTCAAATAGAGAAGTTAACTTTCCATTAAAATTCCAAATGCGCCTCGTGTTAGCAGAGCAAAAATGCAAAGCTTTTAGGAAGGTAATCTAACCGACGAAAGCGGAGAACTCTGTCTAGTGTGGGAAGAAAACCGGCGTATGTCTTTCGATGAATACGATCGTGCTTTAAGACTGAAAATAGCAATAGGTATGCTATAATTCTTTAAAAATAAAATTGCTACACGCTTTGTTTATTTTTCTATAAAAATAAACTTTAACTAACTTTCCAAAATGAAAAAAATAATGTCTTCCATGTACCCACCTCCTTGAATTCGCGGTTTTCTTAAGAGTTTTTAATCATCTCTCATAAATTTAGATTGTTATACGGATTTAAATAGAATAAAATGTTTCCAAAGAAGTAAAAAAGCGCGAAAGGTCTCTGTTTGCACTTACACATTATTGACCCTTTATTTTCCAAGGTACTTTTACTTTAATGATTCGTCCGTGAACTCTTAATAAATATTAAAGAACCCTTTCTGAAATCAAAGAAAAGATAAATAAGACAGAAGCTTTTTTATTTCTTTAAATGCAGTACATTGCATCTCATTACGGTGCTTAAGTATTATACAGTCGACCAATTTTGTCAAATCAAAACATGTTGACAAATGCTGCAATATGCAGCCAATAGTGGAAACCGTTCCCGCTCTTGCTCGAACACAATAACGATAATAACATTAGGCCATATTTTTTTTTGAATTAGCGACTTCTTCTAATTTGGCGAAATGGGTCGACAGTATAAAACGTAAGAATCTCCAAAACAAATAATAATTTTGATTTGAGAGGGTAATTAATAATTTCCGAGGATTATATAGCGTTACAAATTGAAACTGGTGGACAGATGCAAGTCCTTGAACAAGAAAATAAATGCGTTAAACAAGCCAAATGCTTAATATGACTGATTTGCCCGATTAACTGTGATGGCGATATGTTAAATTTTATTGAATACAATAAATTCCACTGTACAATATTAAAAGGAAAGGAACCATACTTTCCCCCCAAAAAGAAATGATCGCCAAGCATTTGTTCTCCTTGGTTTCAATTATGTAAACTTTTTGGACATCTTAATTTCCCTCTATATCATCATTTCAAAACTTTTTTCTTTTATTTAGCTAACGATATTTTTTTAACAATAAAATACATAAACTAAGTACAAATAAATGCATACTTAAGAAAAAATGCAAAATAAATTATGGAGTTCTAGATGTGTGTGTGTGTAACGGAAGCTCTTACCACATTTCCTCACAGATTTGAATTAAAGTTACTTGATTAAATGTATTTCCTAGAATTAAAATTTTCAATTCAAATAATAAAGAAGAAAAATTTAACTACTGTAACTGTTATAGACCATCATTCAGAGAGTTTCATTTTTAAGTAATAAGTCAGGAAGAATTATACGCTTCTTACACAAAATAGCACGATAAAATGTTCCCTGTTCCTCTTTATTGCACTCTTAATGATTACACAAACTAGTAAAACAATTAAGAAGCTGAAGGCAAAACAATTAGAAGATTGCTTACTGCATATAATAAGTATTTAAAACTGTACAAGTAATAATATAGCCATAGTAATGTTTTCCCTTTATTGTACATAAACTATTAACAGAAAACATTTATGCACTTAATAAGCTGCTTACTGGACACAATGCAGTAATAATATCACGCAATAACTATTACCCAAACGTCTAAGCGGATGGATAAAGAGATGACCAGTTGAAAGGAGACAGATAAAATGCTGTCTAGTTTATTAAATAGTTTTAATCTCCGTGACTTTTATAATCTTGTTGACTATGATTTCATTGTAACAACGGTAATAATATTAAAAATCTTGAACTTGCGATAAAATTGTGTTTAAAACGTTTTCAAATACTAATTAAAGGTATATATTTTTAATGTCCTATCGCAGTGATTCCCAAACTGGTCTATATGGACCCTGCTATGACGACCTGCAAGGGGTCCACGTAAACAAAAAAAAAATTGGGGGTCCATGAGGCGTAAATGGGGATCTAAGTGATACTGACTCTAATTAAACCAGATCAGTGGTGCACACAGGAATTTTTCAAGGGGGGTCTGGAGTCGAAAGTCCACCATTCTTGTATCATGCGCCTTTTGATTTTGTCGATTTTCGGGAACAAAACACAGTAAAAAACTAATTTTTGAATAACTAATTAGCATTAATTAATAAAATTAATAATTAATAACAATTAATTAAATTTTAGGTACTATATACTTAGAATTATGATCAATCGGAAAAAAAATCAAGGGCTTTGAGGGGGTCCTGACCCCCAGGACCTCCCCCTCCTTGTGTGCGCCACTGAACCAGATAGTGACTTAAATTTTAAAAGAAAATTTAATCAAGTGGAAAAAACCAGATTTTACCATATTAGTAGATTAATTTCCTCAATTTAATAAGATTAATTTGCAGTTATAAAGTGACCCCATAAATTTTATTAAAACAAGGGATATTAGCGTTTCTTTCCAGATTTAAGTTAAAGCAGCATAACATTGGAGATCGTGAATTTTGTCAATTTGCCACAGACAATCCTGCAGGACGTTTTAATCAACATTCAGCCTTTAAATGACCTTTATTCAGATTTCGAAACTAGGTTTGAGAATGCTTTAACTATGATGTGTATTACCATAGTTACAATCAATTCATATGGTCACACTGAAAAAAAAATTCATATTACAATAGGAACTGATCGGATTAGGCACTAACGAAGATCTTAAAGTAAAGCTTAGAAGCCGATGCAAGCAAGTTTGCCTTTAAAAAGACATACCTGTTAAGGAATATCGTAAGAAAGTTTTTAATCGCTTTTCCTGTTATTGAAGCACCAGATTCCTTCCTCCCATTAAAAACATTTGTTTGCTGTTCAGTTATTTCATTTATCAATCAAATTTTAATCTAATTAATTAACATGTGCTTCTTAAGTTTTAGAACACTATGCTTCATTACAGTGGGAAATTTAATTCCTTTAAAGTAAATAGTTCTATACTAGCTGCCAAAAAGATATTTTAAGTAGATAAATTTGTAAAAATTCAATATTAGGTATGCAGGGTCTACTCCAAACAAAAAAAAACATGGTAAGGGGTCTATGAGGCAAAAATGTTTGAGAATATATGTCCTATCATGTTTAATTCAAACAAATAAAAGGATAAATTTATTTAGTTTTATGTATCAAATATATAATTTTGAAATATATCGAAGCACATAATTCTGATATGTTTAATTGACAGTAGAAAATGAGATGATGTCAGAAATTTTAAGAGATTAATAAATAGTAAATGTGTGTGTGAAATTCAGCAGTGCAGTACATTTTGCATCAAAACTAATTTTAAAACAAGTAATATATATAAAAAAATTGAGTCAATTCCTACTTAGATCAACAAAGAAAAATTGTATTTTAGTTACTTTTCATTAATAGTTACAATTAATATAAATATGTATATACATATATGACAGAATTACAACATTAAGTGGTAATTGATTTTTATTAATTATCATTAAAGTATCGTATTGTCATCCAAAACAATCGTGTAAATAAAATTTCAGTTCAACTGAATGCTTTAAAACGTGAGAAAAAAACCTTTTCAAGTTTGTACACACGTCACCAAAAATTATGTCAACGTGGCTGTATTTGTAATTCTTTGAATAATTAGTTTTAATCAAATAATTTTTATTAATTCTAATTAAATTATTGTATTGTCATCCAAAATAATCATGTTTATAAAATTTCAGCTCAATTGAGCGCTTTAAAATGTATTTTATTAACGATTGAAAATTCCACCAAGATAAATAAATATATAGAGAGTGTAAGCTAATAGTAGAAATTGAAAAAAAAGAAAGCGATGTAAGAGGAATTAGAAGAAACACTAACTGCAAACTTTATATGACTAATTATTAGCACTTGGCGAACTCGAAGATGCATACATATTTCCACTCAAGTAAATTTAAAGAATTTTCTGATATAAAAATGAATTTTCCACACACATCCAAATCTATAACTCTCAAAATCAATATTCTCTTTTTCTTCTACGGATAAAAATTTTTTAAATATATTTTTAGTAAACAGAATGTTTATTGGTGATTCGGGAAGAGGGATCTGATGAAGCAGATTCAAGGAAAAATATATTTTAGTGACTAAATAAAAAGTAGAGAAAAAA